TCTGTATGCAAGTCTAATTTTGACCAGCAGCAACTTTAGTGAGTAGGCTGGTGCAAAATTTTCACATGATTTGTACTGGAGGAATATATACTACCATATCTATAGAAACACCCACAGAAATTCTTTTAGAGAATCACAATAGTCAGTATGTGAGATCTCACTGCTCTGGAGGCCTTCTGCTCTGATGGTGGATGAATCAGACTCTATATACCGTGGACAATGAGAATCAAGTGCTTCACTTTTACATGCATGCCTTATTTCAAAATGTAAAGGTCATCTCATACACGTTAAGTGAACTGTACAATGGAGGAGACTCTCAAAGGCCACAGAGACTAAAGACAATAAAAGGCGGGAACGGTAGCTCAACCTTAGAAGAGGTTCACGTGGCATACAGAAATTGGATGAAGCTCCTTATTGACAGCAAAAAGCCAGCTAACGTCTGACACTTGCTAACAGTGAATTTCAATGGAGACAGAGGAGGAAACCAACACAGAAAAGGGCAGGGACTTGCCCGGAGTCAGAGCTGGAACGTGGAGTGCCTGAGCTGTCATCTATTATGCCATGTTCTTCACTAACCTGCCACTTCCCATTTCCATCAACGTGACTAAAAACTCACAGGCTGTTGTGTTTCTGGATGAGGCTGCCCAAGCAGCAAATTCTCCCAGTTTCGTGAGACTGTGAGCATCTAATATAATCCTTAATTGGATTCTGACATTCAGTAGTTCTTTACACCGTCTTTAGAGATAAAGCGAAGTCAAGTAATCCTTAGCCTACAAGGGGCGGAGGGAGAGGGTACCTTTCGGTGGCTAGAGCCTTGCGTGTTGAGGTCTCCCGTGGCACAGCAGGTCCTGGCATCGAGCAATTTGAGAGATGAGGTCAGAGAGATGTGGAGTCTGGGTGAAAAGAAGAGCGGCATGAAAGCCTGGTGCAGCAGAGCAAGTAGCAGCGAACAAAGAGAGCAATGCACAAGCCGGTCCTTCCAAGGATGCTGGGGAAGAGGCAGAAAAGACAAAGGAAAGGGTTATGGGTGTAGCAGGGAATTAGTATCTTCTGCCAATGAAAAAAGGTGGGTTTCCAGGTCGGGTTTTAATTGCATTAGCCAGTTCCGTTGATAGAGCCTTCTCAAAGCAGCTCGCAGGAGCACTAAACAATGATTAAGGCACTACATTCCCAGAGTCCTCTTTTGGTTTATGCTATGGGTAATCCTGAAGCTAAGGGGACAAGGGAACGCAGCACAATGAGCTCCATGAGGGCATGGAGCTGACAAACTGTTTAAATGTAATGGTGTCTCTGTTCTCAGAGGAGGAGAGGATCTCTGATTTCAGGCCTCTGACGTGCTAAATTACCAAATGAAAACTACAGCAAGTTCCACCAAAACTGCAGCCATCAACACTACAGATTGTTTTTAACAAACAAAAGTTGACAGAATAAAGGATGGGGGTTGAAGGGTGTCTGCACTCTATGCCAAGGTTTTTCTAAAAATATTTTACACCTGCTATTCGTTCCGCACACTGATCATATTTTGTCTATGAGGTAGAGAACTCAGAGTGCCAAAGGGAATGTGGTTTATGCTCCCGAGTCTGAATGCTTTTTCCCTTCTGTAAGGCAAAACTCCTTACTACCGTCACTAAAATAAAGCCAAGAGGACAAAAGTCATAAGCGCTCTGCCACGGTAACAGTTTAACTGTTCCTCTCGCTGATCTTTGGAAACAATCCCTTCAGCAGGATTTTACAGCTCTGGCACTTCGATTTAGCAAACTTTCAATGCAGCTCATGAGAGGAATGCAGCCAGCACTGTACACTCAATTTAAATCAACTTGCTGATGATATAAAAAAGAGTGCTGAACCGCCGGTTTGCTTCATCTGCTCCAAAACTACCAACACAAACTCTGAGGTATTTATTCCTGAAATGTTAATAGAACAGTCTGGGGCATCAGATCAGTAAATGAACTCTGGTTTGATCCCATGCCGGTCCAAAGAGCTGATTTAACAACTAATTGTTTGGTTACTTGATATTTCAGAAATGCAACTGGGCTGTTTGCTGCTAACAGGCTTTTGCACGTTGCAGCACGGTGGGAGCCCAGGGTGCAGAGAGCTGGGCAGGCGGCCGCGCTGTAGCTGGGGAATCATCTGCCACCCTTGGCCGTAGAAAGAGACCGTACAAGCAATGTTCAACAGCATTCTGATTTTGCCTCGTGAAAGAGGGATGGATCCTTCTGTGGCTTAGACCCAGTCCTGGATTTGTATAAATTCTGATAGCTTAGTTGAAGTTAAGAGAACTACAAAACTTGTACTCACCGGGACTCCGGTGCCGGGTCAGCCTGTGCCCTCTGGGCTCGCATCCGCAGCAGAGACCTTTGAGAACACGACGCAGTAAGGAAGCACTACATATTGTAAACTCCGCCTGTGAGCTGGCTCTCCTTCCCAGAAATAATCAGATCCATTTAATTTTGGCGACCGCTACTAGACTTCTGATCAAGAGTAAGGTGTGTCGCCTGCCCACAAAACGAACGCGGCACAGACCGTAGCTGTCCACGCTCCACCCTGCCGCGCCAAGATGCCTCCGAGCTCGGTTTCACAGATCCCAGATTACAATTTGAAAAGTTACCGACTTGAGCTGAACGGAGTGAGCCTTACAGATGAAAGTGCTTTTAATTTGTGCTTGGGTGGGGACTTCGAGTGAAGAGACAGGACACACTAAGTAGCGTTGAGGGGGACGCATACTTACGGTTTTACCCTTTTCTTCACTGTAAATTAAAGACATCTTCCGAGGTTTAACTTACACCGGCAATTTTAAGGAAGTAAATTGCATGTTCACAAGAGAAAATACAAAAGAACTTGCACAACTGAGCAACTGCTTCCTTTTCCCCCTTCATTTCTTTTTAGGTCCTTTCTATCAAAGCAAACACACTTATCTGACAGCATGGCTCAAGAGCAGAATACTGGGTGCGTGGAAATTAAACCAGAGATTGACTTGGCACTCATTTAGAACAGAATGTTGCAGTGTAAATGTTTGATCTAACAAATTCAGCACCAAACTTTAGCAAAAGCTAAATAAATGGGTGTAGACTGAACAGAAAGCACGTATCTTTAATTTCTATAATGAGCAAGAGAAAATATTAGAAGTCTTCACATTTGCATTCTTTGAGAAAACTAGAAGTGCTCTCTACAGATTGTCTCCTCGCAAAGCACCATCAACAAGCCCTGCTTAGTAAAATCTTCATATTAAAAGGTGCTGCAAAAAAACCACCTTGTTTCCAGACATTCTTCCTTGCTGCAAACCACCACTGCCCTTCATACGTAGAGCAGGTTACAATGGAAGTGAACAAATCTGCACGGGAGGAGAATAAACTCGGTGACCTTAAAAGACAAACTATCTCAGATTAAATCACAGAACAGAAATACTACTGGACACGTAGAATAGTCTCCACTGCCAGAGTTGCCCAACCTCCTAGGCAGTTTAGGTATTATTACTGTATTGTAAATACAACGATAACTGTACTAAGTCTTAAGGTCTAGGCATACAAATAAAGAGAATTCACAGAGCTAATATTCTCCATTTTCCAGTAATTGATCTAGTATTTTCCGTTTTTTTTTTTCCCCAATTCCTTTTAAAAGCAAAATTATCCACTTAAAATGAGATACCAAATGAGGCACTTTCGAGTATGGTTCTGTCCACCGATGTGCTGTTAGTGGAAAGATAAACCAGATGGCAAACGCAATAAAAAGGAGCCAGTTAGAAACAGATGAATGCCTAAAAAAACCTCCGCTCCATTATTGCTTTTGAATTGGTTGTCATGGCATTAGAAATCGATACCACTGTCAGCCTCACATCTCCACCCTGTCCATTTCTTCCTGGCCTCTGTCCAAAGCAAAGATCTCACACTGATGTTTAAACACACGCTCTTCCTTACAGCACGGGGCTATTTCCACCAACGCGCTGCTCGCACCAAACCGGGGGGGTGTATGTGCGTGGAATTTACACCTTTTGTAAAATCAAGTGCACCAAACAGGAAAACACTGATCTTCAGTCTCAAAATCCAATTTCAGAATACTAGTGTTCAGGTAATTTTAATCCTGTACTCCTGTAGCTTACAATTCATCATCACGAGCCAAAGGACTACCCACTCAGCAGATACCTTCTCTTTGTACAATTGAAACTGCCATGGAAAATAAGTTGACATTCATTAGATTTACATATTAAAGAAGTTTCTCTTCCCCTGGACAATGTCCATCAGCAAGGACCACAATTTGCCAAACAGATGGAAAAGAGTAAGGGATACAACTTCAAAATAGTCCTGGAAAAGCCAAGTTGTTTTGCCAGCCTTACAATTCTTTCTCCTCCCACTCACATTCACGTTTTGAGAATCTATTAAGTTAAAATTGGTAAAATCCACTAAAATAAAAACCTTAGAATGTCACGTTGTAGTTGCATTAATTTCTCTTTTTAATAGAGCATATAAAATGAAACTTTACAATGAGTTTAGTAAACTGTAAATCAGCACTTTTATTCAGTCTAGTTTCTGAGCTATTAATCCCTAATACAGAAACAGAACGCTGATGCATTGGTCTAGGACCTCTCGAGATAATAGTTCAAATCCATTCTGATGACATGGAAAGTGAATTTCATTGAATCACCTGAGTCCCTTCTAGATACATCATATCGCACAATAACTTAACATTCCCAGAGCTTATAGTCTTAACTCTCGAGGCAAAAAAATATAAAATTACCTTCTGACTTCAGTGAGCTGCAGTTAAGGAAAACACGTGAAAGTTTCCTCAAATAATTGCAGGCAAGTACTTAACCAGGCTATGTGCTTTGTCAGTAGTATTCTAGGTAAAGCACCCCATTATTGTGGTGCATCAATACAGCAACCCCTGCCATCGCTCCTTTGTCAGGCACTGAGTCAGACTTTTTTGCATCATTAGCACTGACAACACAATAAACGCAGCGCTCGGATCTTCAGCAAAGCAGTAAAAACACAGACCACGACAATCAATTAATTTTAAAGAATTTTAATACAAACTTAATATAAACTATTTCAGTCCCTCTTAACATGTAAGACACTGACTCAAAATACTTTTATACCTTTTTTCAAGTATTGCACAATGTAGGTACAAAATTAATATTTACGATTACATTTTCTTCCATAATATATAGCAAAAATCTTTAAACTTTTAACAGAAAATACAATTTGTGTTTCTTTTGAAAAAAGCAAATATTTCGTACATTTTAATTCCACCACTAAGGAATATTCTGTACACAACTTTTTATTTTTTTTATAATTGATGTCTTTAAGATGGATATCTTACAATTTCAGTAAAAAAAATACAACATGAAGCTGCTGCAGCTGTCACAGATCACTGTAGTAAAAAGATATAAATGCAATACCATGTTGTAGAAACAATATATATACTCTGATATTTTACAAACTTTGTACTAAATTAAATTATACAATTAGAAAAAGACCAATAAACCCACCTATTAGTGCCAATTTTTAAAATATATATATACATATATGTTTCTGTACATATATATATACACACATGAAAAAAATTAGCCACGTCCTTGCTATATCTTAAATACTGTAAGAGGCCATATTTTGAGAGTATATTTTTGTAATGTACAGTCAGTATAAAATAATTTTGTGCTTGGTTGGCAAATGAAAAAATGATGCATGTTGTAGTTATCTAACCAAGCCTGAATGTATTCATACTACAAGCCTTAAAAAAAATCGCTCAAGAGGTGGAAAAAAAGATACACCCTTGGGTACGTGCATTTTAACTTGTACAATAGTATTTATTTGTATTTCACTTTCGTTTTATTTTTAGTTAGCCATAACTGGCTGGAATTGCTGGTTAGAATACTGCATGTTGTTTAAACTAAAATTCAAGCCATCCACAAAAGACTTCTCATTTAGACCTCCATAGGCTGCAAACATATCAAAGGCATTACTGTACTGGAGAGGACTGAGGTTAAGGGGGCTGTCACCAGGAAAGATGCTACTGGTACTACCTTGACCCTGCATGTTGGGGAAAATGAACTCCTTTGCGTTAGGAGAAAGGGCAGAAGTCTTCTGCTGTTGTTGTTGCTGCTGCTGCTGACTGCCTAAGCCAAGCCCGTAGAGAGAGTGCATGGAGGAGGAGAGGGCTTTCTGCTTCAACAGGTCATTGACATTCAAGCCAAGGTTGGTGGGAGAAGTGCGGGCGACCTTGTTGCTACGGCCGCTATTCTTCATTTTGGTCGAGCCAAACTTGGTGGCAGCAAATGTGGCAGTGGTGAAGGTTAAAGGCTGAGTGGAGCGGGGCATGAAAGTTGGGCTCACAGCAGCAGAGTGACCAAAGGGAGGAGAAGGAGAACTAGACACTGAAGATGCTGGGTCACTAATTGGCATGAACACCTGGGCCTCTGGGTTAAAGCTGTTCTTGATTTCCTTATCCAACTCACATCCATTTTCATTATCATCCACATAAAGCACTTTCACTGGTCCCTTTTCACCGATTTGGTATGAAACCTCAAATGGGTCAATCCAAACACTAAGATCCTGAGGCAAGTTGCCACGAACATCATCAATGTCCAAACCACTCTCTTTGGATGCTTGTTCTATGACTGGGTCCACTTTCTCCCCTATATGTATACATCTAAACCCTGATCCTTTGTATGGCTTTTCTGGATACCAGTGCCCTTCATACTTCTTCTTAAGAAGTCTTTCAAGCTCTTCACCAAAAATGTTGACACGTCGTCTGGGAAGCTTATTGTACAAATATGAAATAATAAAATTGAGTGCTACTTGGATTTCAAGCTGCATAGCTGCTATGCCACAAAGTTTTAAGTCTGTTTCAAAACCCGAAGAAGAAAGTGTTCAAGATGCCACGGGGAAACAAAGTTTCATTCAAAGTGCTGATTCTAGTTGATTATTATCCTTCACCTTGAGCGCTCTTGTTCCTTTAAGAAAAAACAAAAGCAAACACATCCAAATAAGGAAAGCGTAAGATCAAGCTCTAAGGCCTATTCTTTTAGCTTCACTTTCTGCATAAAATAGGTTACTTTTTAAATCAAAAAATGTGCATCAAATTATTTGCGTTCATGCCTGTGGAAGGTGAGGATGCCAACTACATTCAGCATGCCTTACAAACAACACTGCAGAAGATGCACTAAGCGTGTGTTTACATATACAGCATGGGGCATTTCAAAATCACATGAGCTTGCCATTTAGTTATTCACAAAGCAGCAAGGATAATTTTTAAGACATCACAGAACTGCCAGGCCTGACAAGGGTTCAATTACGAACCCGTATTTGGATGATTTATAGTACTCAGCTGCAAAATTTAGCACCAGACTATTATTTTAGCCTGAAAGGTCTTAGACCAAGGGTCATTTATCATTGTAAAGTTTGCAAACATATTGGTTGCACTTTAAGCTACAGAGTTATAAACATGTTAACAGTTGCTTTAGAAGATTTCACACAAAAAATCTAAAATTATGCAACATTTATTTTAAGTCCAAGCACATCATCTGCATAAACTGTGTGCTGGCGAAATTATCCTAACTGAAGAGAAAATGTCCGCTGCACATATACAACAATTCTTCCTTGGAATAGCTAAAATTATAATGCCATCAATGCATACAAAATAGATGCATGTATCTTCTGTCATAAGGGTAGCAATGACTGTGGAATTGCTACAATAAATTAATTCACAATTTTTTCCCTTTCTACAAATTATTCTATATTATCAGATGTAATATATTAATATATACTAAATTAATATATCCTGCTGTGCATAGCTCAGATTTCAAAAAGTTACTAGAGCTAACAGGGCTTTTGATAGCCTTAAAAACAATAGCTTTTCTCCTTCTCCATGACTCCATTTTATATTTAATATAAAATATGGTTGCCACTCCTTCACAAAGGACAAAAGAGGAATTAGCTATCTAAAGTTAAAGAAGGGACAAGAATCAAGTATTAGCGCGCATACTGCTAATGAAAATACTGCAGTACCTTAGACTAGAGGTACACATCCACAGGATACAGCTTTGTTCAAGAAGTTACAGTGAAACAAAATATGTATTTCAAGTCAAATGCCCAATGAGAATTTCAATTAAGTGTGCTTTTCTGCACTGCATCACTAGGAACAAAATTTAGTGTAGCTGTCACTAAAGATTAGAGAAATCAGAGTCAATATCAAAATCCTTTAACAATGTGAATTCAATACTTGTTTATTTCTTGCTCCACATAATCTCCTTTTAAAGTCTGGAACCCTATTTCCAAGCCACTCGTGTTCTCCCCAACATGGTATGGGAATAGTTTGAAAGCTTGTACGATAAGGCGACCTTTAAACGTTTGCTGGATCAGCACTGGGTGGGGATAAGGAAAAGATCAAGGGCAAACAGAAGATATTTACAAAAGGGACACAATCAGTACAGAAAAGCTGATTGGGTGGTTAAAAGGGGCATTTAAAAATGATTTATTAATCCATCTGTTTTGTTTCCCTTCCTCCATGTCCTTTAGGAAAGAAATCATCCTTTCAAGGCACACTGGGCAGCCGCTATCAATTTTTCTAAGCCCCAAAACCAATCCACAGTACAAGCACCTGATCAAATGAATCAACTTGATCATTTCATACTTTTTTTTTTTTTTTTTTAGTTTTGGTTTATTTTTTACTTTTTTTTTTTTAATTTAGAGGACAATATTTCTCAGGGGCCGAAGCCCGGCGCGGGGGTTACGAGCAGGAGCCACGGGCAGTGTGGGCGTTACATAACCAGGGACTCGGGTCTCATTAGGTTTCTGCTCACAGCCCTGGGAGCTCCGGCAGCAGGAGAAGGAGGAGGAGGAAGAGCGTTCTCTGAGCCCGTAAGAAAGAAAATGAAGAAGAGGAAGGGAGATGACTAGAAGGAGGGGGGGAGGCGGGCTGCAAGGCCCCTCTGCTCAGCACACGGGCCAGCGCCCCGGGCCCGGCGACACCCCCTCGGCCCCCCCGCGGGACGGGGTCCTGGGGACCGCTGCCAGCTCTGCCCGGAGAGGCCCGGCGGAGGCAGCAGCTCTTAGTCAGCCGGCAACGCTCACTCCTCCCAGCCCCAACGCGTCCAGGGACCGCCTTGGGAGGGTCCCTCTCGCCGCCCGGCTCCCCCGGGCCGTGCCCTCTCCCCGCGGGGCTGCCGGCGGCCCCTCACACGCTCCTTCCCATCGGTTCCTGTGCCGCTCGGCGCCCCCCCCTCCCCGCACCCCGACACCGCGGGGTCGCGACCGCCCCTGCACCCCGGGCCGTGCCCGCCTCACGGACGGGCCGGGCCCGCCTCAAGCATCCCCGCCTCAGGGGTCGGGGCCCGGCTGCTGCCGCCTCAGCGGCCAGGGCCGGGCGGTGGCTGCCCCAGGCCCCCCGCCACGGCGGCCGGGGCCGCGCCCGCCTCAGCCCTCCCGCCTCAGGGGCCGGGCGGCGGCCGCCTCAGCCCCCCGCTCGCCTCACGGCCGGGTCCGGGCGGCGGCCGCCTCAGCCCCCCCCGCCTCAGCGTCTGCTCTCGGCTTGGGTCCCCCCCGGCCCCCCGCCGCGGCGCACACCCCCGCGCCGCCCCCCCCCCCCCCCCCCCCGCCCTCAGCGAGCGGTACTCACCCGGGGGGTGTGGGGGGGGTAGTGCAAACAGTCTCGGCGGGGGTGTGAGTGCGGAGGGGAGGGCGGGGGCGGCTCAGCACCCGACCCCCATCTCCGAGAGCCTGCTCCCTCAGCGAGGATGGGAGGGGAAAGGAAAGAGAGAAAAAAAAGAAAAAAAAAAAAAAAAAAAAAAAAGGGAGGGGGGAGGGCTGGAAAAAAAAAGGGGGGGGAGGGAAAGGGGGGGGAAGGGCTGCGCTGCTCACACCCCCACGACGGGCGCGCTCAGCCGCCGCAGCCGGGCTCCTTCTGCTACTGCCCCACCGCCCGACGCGCCCCTATATATCGCCTCCCTTCCCCCGCCCCCCCGCCGCGCCCCGCCCACACGCCCCGCCCGGCCGCGCCCACCGGCCCGGCCCGCCAGTGACTAGTGCCCGCCCTTGTCCCGCCCCCTTCCACCAGGCCCCGCCCTTGTCCCGCCCCCCGCTGCCTCCCCTTCCCCCACCCCGGCGTGGAGGGGCCGCTCTCTACGTCAGCTCGCTCATCACCTCACAACACCGTTGCGTCACTGCCGACGTCAAACCTATGCCCTCGCGCCCCTCATCTCCGCAGGGACGGCGGGGGGGGGGGGGTGAGCCCGCGCTGAACTACATCTCCCATAACCGCCGCCGCGGCGCGTCATGGCGGGGGGGACGGGGGCACCTCGCAGCCCCTCACGGCTCGGGGGCCGGGGTGGCCGCTCGCCGCCGTCCCGCTCCCCCCCCACCTCCCCTCAGCGCGGGACCGGCGAGGAGCGGGGTGCGGAGCGGCACCCCCCGCCTCGCCCCCTTGCAGGTCCGTTCCCCCCCCCCCTCGCCGCTAAAAATACACCCCCACAGGTAGCAACGCTGACCGATTGGCTGCCTGCCCGCCCCGGGAGCCGCCTGATTGGTCACTCGGTATCGAGGGGGAAGACGTCAAACCCCATTTTTTTGGGGGGGGGGGGGAAAGTTACCGGAGGGGTGTTGGGGGGGGGGGGGGCCGCGGAGGGCGCAGCCGCCACCTCAGCGCCCGCGGTGCCGGGGGAAGAGGGGCGGGGGGTCAAGGCCCTCGCCCAGCGCCGGGGCCAGCGACCCTGATTTGGGCCCGACGGGGACGGGCGGGCGGCCCGGCCTTCGTTACCGCGGGGCACGGCTCAGTGTGGCGGCAGCGGGGGAGCGCCCGGGGCTGCCGCCGCCTCCTCCCGCCCCGAGAGCCGTGTGGGGCGAGAGGCAGGCCCGGTGGCGGGAGGGCCCCGCGCTCATGGAACCATCACCGGGTTGGCTCGTTAAACGGCACCGGCGGGGATTACTGGGGTTGGGGTCGGTACGGTTAGCTTCAAACCGGCGAGGAGGACCGGGTTTTGGAGGACAAACGGCGGACGTTTTGGGTTTTGGTTGTGTTTTTTTTTTTTTTTGTTTTTTTTTTTTTTTTTTTTTTTTTTTTTTTTTCTCCTCCTCTTGCTCTGTGTTTGTATAATAATAAAGCATTTTGGCATAAGGGCTGCATGGGCCCCGGGAGAGATTTGGAAATGCCAGTCAGAAGAAATGCCAGGACTTTAACCCTTTGGAGCTTAGAATGTATACGAGACTGTGTGGGAGGCAGGAGCCTGAAAACCAAAATGTTAAGGAAAGGAAGATAGCAAGGGTAGTATTGGGGATTTTCCACTGCTGAAAATTTCTGCTAGAAGGCCTAATTCATTGTAAACGCATATAGTTCTTATTCAGATATATCTATGTTGATGCTACTAGGATTGCAATATTGCAAACAACTTGAAAATCTTCTTTCGGACTCAAAATTGTTACATTTTTTTCCTCAATTTTACATTTGTTTTTTAACCATAAAGGTTTGCATGGGCCTTCTGTGAAAATTGGGTCATCTGCCATCACTGTGCACCCCAAATAGAAAATGAAGTATGAAGATAATAAAATTAAAAGCATTGGCAACTAGAAGACTACTGGGAATTGCTGCAGCACAGCCAGGAATCCAAATGAGAGTCTTGGATTTTTTGTTTTGAACAAGTTGTCATTACTTTCACCACAAAAGTTTAAGAGACAATGTGAAATAACTGCCCAAACAGATAAGGTAGAAAGACAAATAGAGGTCTGGGTTGTTTTTGTTTTTTTTTTTTTTTTTTGTTTTTTTTTTTTTTTTTAAATTAGAACTTCGAAATCTCCCTGGTACAACAAACACTGAATAAATTGACAGCGAACATCAGCTGTGCCGGTGAGCAGTTCATGTTAGTGTGTAGTGTGCTCAGTTCTGCACTGCCTGGGCTAGCAGCAGATCTCCCTTTAAAGTGGGAAAAACTGCACAACTCCATAGATCAATGTTTTCAGGTGAGATTTCGTAAGGAGCTTTACAAACCCAATAACCGTGCTGCTGAGTTGCTAAAAAAAAAAAAAAAAAAAAGTAGTAAAAGCAAAGACTTTCTTTTAAATGGCTTTAACACTACATGAGAAGCATTAGGAACTGAATTAAATATACAGAGCTAATACATGTATAGTCAAGGCAGCTGTGGGATCCTTTAAAGCTGTGAAAATGGTGATGTACTTTTCTGTGGCTTATGTAAAGGAAGCTTCTAATGCAGTCAAAGCTAAAATTGCATGTTATTGAACAAATCCAATGTTAAATGTTAAAGACAGGTGATTGCCCTAAGAATAACCACTTCAGGTCTGCAAGAACCAAGCCTGCTTGTAGTTGTCCAATGAAAGTTTCAATTTATCCTTGTTTGTCTGAAAAAAAATTCTGACTTTTAAGCTGCAATGATCATTATGTCATCCACATGCAACACATCAGAAGTAGGTGGCCAAACCGTAGTAACGTTACATTATTAGCACTTAAAAACAGAGTCTAATCCAGGATCACTTGTATTCTTAAAACCTCAGCTGGCTTTTTGATCCACAAAGAGGTCAGAATAGGGCCTGCAGTATTTTTCAGTTCTTTTGATTAATACACAGCAATAACAAAATGTCTACCTCTCCCTGCAAGAAAAATCTTTAAAAATGCAATCAATACAAAAATAACAACCCCACAGCAAAATTTTACTCATGTTGCCAATTCTATTCAACTGATAGATTAATCTTAAAAGAAACAAAAAGAAAAATATATATTCTTATCGTTCCTGACAAACCTTGACAATTTTTCTCCCCAGCAGAACAAATCAACAGAAGTATTTCAGAGCACGGAAAGGAGGCAGGAGTGAGATTAGAAGTAAGAAGACTTTCTTAATCTATGTTAAAGGAGAAAGGTTTTGATCTCATCCCCTGTTCACAGCCATATCCTGCGATGCTGGCCAGCAAGACAGCCATCACCAGCAACTGAGCTACGATTTCTACAGTCTGGGTCTCTGCAGTCTAATCTCTAGAGTCAAGGTGTCTGCATTGTCAAAGACCTACATTTCTACAAAACCTTGTAGAGACTACATGATCTCTACAAAGAGATCTTATTTTCTCTACTAATGCACTCTAAATTTGGTTCCTAAAATAATTACTAGCCGTCTTTAAAAAATCTAAATCAGTATTATTTATTGATCAATACAATATCTAAAACCAAAATACAGTTTATTAATCTTAAAAGTCGTTCATAGGAATTAAAAATATCTAAGAAAATTTTTACTAATCTATGCCAACATGGCCAAGAATTTAAGAGCAGTAGAAAGCAAGGCTCGGAATTTCCACCACCAATCTTTGTCCTTTTCATCATCTCTGCTAAATGAATATTGCTGTTCCTTACAGACTATATAAGATTTATCCTGGCAGTGGACATAAAGCTTTGTAACATACATTCCCAAATATAGTGCAGTCTCTTTTTTAACATTTTTCTATTTGAGAACACAAGTCTCCATTTAACGTGGGAGCCTGGGCTTTGATTTTGAAGAAATGGAAAGCTTTTCCCATTGTATTCATCCCTCTCTAGCCCAAATTTATCCATTCGCTGATTTTAATGTGTGTTCCTTTTCCCCATCATCTATCACTGTGAGCAACCAAGCCAGGCTTCTCTCCAGCATATACCTTAACAATGATTTTGAAACGTAGTGCAGATTCTCTTACATTTCGCTTTACCAGCTTAAGCAGTGATTTTTCCCATAAATGCAGATTATAGAGGGTGTATATACCTAGCAGATGTTGCCCAGCTTCAGGAGCTCACTGACTACAAAGATTTTTTTAGATGGGAACCACAAAATTAGCTTGTATGTAACGTTGTTTTGATGGACTGAAGAATAACCAAGACCAGAATTCAGCCAAAACGGAGAAGTTCATGGGGCACTGTCCCAGCCAAGTCATCTTCTAGGGGAGCCCCCAGCTCATCTCTAATTATGTGAAGGGGGCAAATGGTTCGTTACCTCCAGTGAAGAGCAGCTGACTGGCAGGGGCTGCTGCGTGCAGCTTCATGTGCCAAGTTAAATGCACACATGGCAGGATGTGTGTGTGCTAACTCCTGTTTGCAGACTCTTACCCCCTGGGCAAACAGCCACAGTCAGCGACTTGCTGCAAACTGCTGTGGCTCCACAGCAACCCAGGCTGTGCCTGGGCTTGTTCTTCGGTAACGCGGGGGGCTGAGGAATTCAGAGGAATGGGATTAGTGTCCTGGGGATGTGGGAGCACGCAGGGAAGGGATGGGGGGGAGGAGGACCTGGCAGTTAGATAAATGGCTATCGGTCTTGGCGGAGGTACAGTTAATCTTGCTACAGAACGGGGAGAAACAGCCTTTGAAGTGGAAGGAGGCTTTATTATTTATTGTGGTAAAAGGAGGAGAATGGAGGACTGAGGGTACAGTAGTGAGGGGCTGTGGTTGTGAGAACAGCATCGTGCATCCTATCCTGGAAGCCCTGAAAGCCCGGGTACCGATTCTCATGAGATGTGCTGGGGCTGGCCTGCCCCCCACAGCTCAGTTAGGTGGGCAAAGCCACGCTCCAGCAACAGAAGGTCCTCTGCTATTATAGCATATGATGTTAGTGTCTCCGGTGATGCCAAGATTTTAGAAACTTGGCTATCAAGAGCTGGAGCTTGTATGCCAAGAATTGAGAAGCAGTTTCCAGATCTGGGTATCTACAGCTTTGTGCAGCCAGTACACTCTGAAAAAAAACCCTTCTAAGGTGGTACTTCCTTAGCTATTAGTGACCCTTCTTTAAAAAAGAAAAAAGAAAAGGGCCAATATCAGTAAAGAGGACTGATCTGCAGGAGCTTAGAGCTTACAAGGACATCATTCTCTCCTAAGTGGCATGCTACTAATGTTATAGCTTACGTGGCAAAAGTTACTGACTCCTGAGGAAGACACAGAAGGCAGCTGCTGGGTAAGA